GATGTAGCCTGTGAGATTCTTTGTTTCTCTAGTGGTCCATCTCCTAGGTGTAGTCATCCATCATGTCTTACAGTGCGGGATTATTTTTTCTGCTGAACTATGAATTATTCCTGTATTAGCATTCTGGTTTGGGCATGCGACAAATCACTGTATACTGTCTTTATCATCGCTCTCCCCTAGAAGAGCTGAGAAAGCTTTTATATGTCCATTTTTTTTTCTATGAGGCAAGCAGACTTTATTTAAAAAAGAAAAGGTACTTAAGCTGTTTTCATTTGCTAAATGCTTTGCACTTTCATGCATGTTGTTCTTTTGCTTCCAGTAGCCCTGTAAGAATTCACAGCTCTGCAAGAAATTTTATTGCCTTCCATTGCCTTTTTCTCATGCGATGGTGCTACAGCTGTCAAACAGCGTTGCTGATAAATGTTCATAATAGCATGGGATGTCATTAAATACACAGAACACAAGCAGTTCTGTATTAACTGCTGTAACAGTGTTCAGGCTTCTAATGCTTAGGGCCTTTTTAATGCTTGTAGGTTCAAACTTCATCCTCTGCTAAACCTTTTTCTTTTTTCTGTATCTGACAAAAGTGTTACAAATATTTTGATGGTTTCTGCACAGTCAGAAGCTGTTTTCCATGTAGCTGGGTCTTACTGATGTTATTTCAAGCAAGTGCTTTTGTTGTTTGGCTTCTTTCTCCACAATGGATCTCTGAGAGGATGAACCAGGCCTTGCACACGCACAGAAGAAAAATGATGTTAAATCCAGGCTTATAATACATGGTGTTCTGGGATTGTGCAAAAACTTGCCACAACTTCTTAGCAGGAAGTCCTTCCTTAAGGAAGCAGGACTTATTTTGCAAAGAGTGAAAATACGTGAAGACCAAAGTGAAATACTACTTTAGTTTTCTAGAAAACGGGAGAATTAGACAAGGGCAAGATGTGTTACAGTAAGATTATGAAATAACAATCCAAATCATTACGTTGAAAAAGATACGAGCTATATGAAGGGCTGTATTGCATTCACAGTAAAAAAAATAAACCAGCAGCAATGTAGGTGACTGACCTTACTATGAAATGCAGCTTCTAAGTCCGAGTTGTTTAACTGTAACTTCTATTATACATCTGTCCTTTTGACTTGCATGGATGTTTTATAACCTGAAAACATATGTTCTTTACTATTTTAAGTGTTCAGGATAATGGCAGCATTCTGAAATACCTTTTCCTCTTTTTGCAGCAGTCAGTACTACTAACAAGACAAAACTTTGCAGATTCGACTACTTTTGCTAGCAAACTTGATACTAAGATGGCCTCTTTTCCTTCCATCCCATCTGTTTCAGTGGCAGCTTCTTACTTATCCTAATTATATGGAGCCCTTAAAAGCTTTCTAATCTCCATATCTTCTATGCTGCTGTCAAAACAATATGCTAAGGAGCCATATCTGCAATAGAGTGGCTTAGGACTGCATTCCCCACAAGACTTGGGTCAGGTGGCTTGGTGGCAATAACTGGAGTGCAAGCAGAATTTACATCTTAAATGTAGATAGACTCGACCTACCGAGGTTCCTGTATCTCCTGTCTACACTATTAATTCCAGTGCAGAAAACCACTAGAGACTTCAGTGAAAACCTGATGCTTACTCACACAAGAGCAGTGGTAATTAAATGGGTGTGTATGTGTACATGTACATGCTAATCTTGAGCATGGTAACTGATGATAACCAGGATTTAGTAATTGCTTTCTGTAAGGGAAGTAAGGTCTCGAAATCTGATTCAGTTTTCTTTTAAATAATTTTCAAGGCCAGCGTACTTGGAAATGTATTTCTCCCCAAGTTCTGAATGAAGTCCGCTTTAAATTGTAACAATGCCTACATTAGTAATTAGTGACAGGAACTGTTAGTTTGGAAGAGGGACATGGAGGGCTAGAAAGATACAGTATTCAATAAAGAAGGCTTATTTTTATTTCTTTCTAGGGGTCTTTATTCCAGCAGACAGGTGACCGTGGAGGAAATGCATCACTTGCTTGGAAACGTGTAAAGGGATGCAAAACAAATGGTCATAACGGAGTGGAGCAAAAGACAATCATTCTACTATCAACTGGTTAGTGTCTTCTTTTAATGTGCAGAGGGGGGTGGAGGGGGCCTGTGTGAAAGAGAACTGAGTGACAAAAGCATCCAAACTTGTCTCCTTTATGAACAATTTTGGAGGAAAGGTTAAGCATGGTGAATAAAGTGCACTTTTTGTCCTTCCCCTCCCTCTTCAGACATAGCGAGTAAACTTCTAGGGCAGTCGATGGACGAAAGTGGACTACCCCAACTCACGAGTTACGATTGCGAAGTAAATGCTCCCATACAAGGCAACAGAAACCTGCTACAGGGTGAAGAACTGCTCAGAGCTCTGGATCAAGTTAACTGAGCTTTCACAATACTTGTTCCTTTCTTGGACACTGGTGAATCATCACCTAAAGCAGTCTATTTATATTTTCTATATCTGATTTTAGAAGCCTGGCTACAGTACTGCACTAATTCAGTTAGTTCAGTTTTGATCCCCTTTCTAATTATTTTGACAGTCTTTTTAATGTGTTCTTTACGTAACAATAACTCAAACTATAGTGCATTTTTATAATTCTTTGGTACATACACTTTTAAGTCCATTACATTTAAAACACACTTGCAATAGCAGCTTTGAAATATGCACCTGATTTTAAAAGAATATTTATTTTTTGGCTGGGGAGTTGGTCACCAAAACTTATCATTAGTATAATGTCAACACAGGAAAAACTGGCAATACTTCCATCCTGCTCTTCATAGGTAGTTGGAAGACTTGTGCTCTCTTACTCTTTATGTTCAAATAGGTTTTTTATTTTAATAGTTTTTATAAGAAGCAACAACGCTTTGCAGCAGTGCATTGTAGCCACAATCGCACAATATATTTTCTTAAAAAATACCAGCAGTTCCTCATGCAATATATTCTGAGTTTATAAAAACTAGTTTTTAAGAAGAATCTTCTTTTTGTTTGCCTATGAAATAATGTTTAAACCTGGATTATGTCATTATTTTAGTCACGTTGTAATATAAATTGTTCTTAAATGCTGTCTTATGCTTTTGATTTAAGTGAGTGTGGTTAGTCAAAGGAAAGGCTTTATCTGGAAAGGGCTAGCAGCATTTTATTTGGATACATTCTCAATTTAGAGAGAGTTTGATGTTCTTAAAGTAGTCACTTTGCCAGCTTAAAAAAAAGATTCCCTGCCTGTAGTTGTTGAAGTTAATGCTAATATTGTGTATGATCTTAAATCTAAATGTTCAGCTTACCCTGTGTGGTATAGGTGATATTTCAAGCAGATCGTAAAACATCTTGCATTGTTAGCAAAGTTTTATCTAGTACTTCATTGAGTTGCTCGATATTTTGATGTTTTGGTTTTATGCACCTTGTTGCTATTAACATCCATATGTTTTTCATGTAGATTTCAATAACTTGAATATATTTAGAAGCCTTTTTATTTAGAAATATATAGTTGTCACAGACATCTTATTTTCCTATACGTACTGTACAAAACCTTCATTCACTCATTCTTTTGCTCTTTGTGGTTGGATCTAACACTAACTGTATTGTTTTCTTACATCAATAAACTATATGTGGACCAGGCCCCCTTGGGGAGTGTGTTATCTGAGAGAAATGAGATAATTTATATTTTTGTTAGTGGTTATTGTTCATCCGTGTTCCCTTTTTAACTTAGAGTTGATTGGAAATCACTGCTTCCTTATTTTGATTGTAACATCTCCGTGTTAATTATTTGAGCCTATTCAGTACTGAAGTCTCCTAGACAAGTGTTGTACTACCGCTCGCCAAAGATGTTAAATTTTTAAATCTGTTATCACACCAGTTAGCAAACTTGAAAGTGAGGAGACAGCGTGTGTGTGTTACTTCAGAGTGGAAAGATTCTTCCTTATGAACAGCGTAAAGGCTTGTCTCTGGAAGCTTTATCAAGGTAACACTGGAAAGCAGGAAAAAGTAAAATTTACAGGGGTGATCAGTTAAAGATGGATTTTTTTTTTATCACAAAACTGCATGATTAAAAAATTAAGCTGGTACTTGATAAAGCTTGTTCTACGTTCTTGTGCTGTTGACTCAGTAACTTTGACTAGGTGACTTCTCATTTCGCTGTCATAAAACACGATGCTACTGATACAACCTTGTAATGTGTAAATATGGTCAAGATATTCTGTGCATTCTTCAAACTATTTTCAAAAAAACTTATCTTAATGTAAAGTCAGATGTGGAGTGTCACAATAGTTATTTTGTTTTTATTTTGGAAACTTTGGTTTTGTGGGACTCTTGAGTCTGTTGAAATCAATATAATGGTACATAAGGTTAACCTATTTCTTAAAATTACTGTTACCGTTTCACTGAAATGAGCACTTCTCAAACTGACACAACTGTATTACTTAAACTTAATGGAGACTATTAGCTACCAACTAAAAAAAGATAAGGCGCTGGTAGCAGAAGATGGTTGCATACTTCCTACAGTTTGAGTAGAAGCTGCACGAAGAGGGGAAAATGCGTAGGCTAGAGTTGAAGCTTCGTGCAGAGAACACTTTGAATATATACACTTGCTACTGAATGTTAAAGACTTTTAATGCAGCCTTTAAGTGTACAAAGTTTATAAAGTTCTCTGGATAAAAGCAGCAGAGCTACTGCATACCTGCTGTGTGAGGTTTCTTGGATAGCATTCTTTCCATGGCCTCCCTCTCTCTCTGTCAGCAGTTCAAAGGTTTAATAGTGAAGTTGCTAAAGGCTTAGGTAAAGCACCAGCTGGTGGGGTCATCCCTCATGCTTAGCTCTGCATGGATTGACGTGATGCTTCTGTGAGATAGTGAGGAGAGTCTTGTAGACATGTGAAAGGTACAAGTGGGTTCTGCCTTTCCTCCTGCCCCGGCAAGCTTTGAGCTGGCCTGGTGGGTTATCCCTTTTCACCTCCCAAGAGAAACTTCATACCTTCCTGCTTGATGGTGTTCTGCCGCACTGTTGACCTTATTTTGGAGGAGCCTGACCTGTTTGGATCTGTCGGTTACTCTTCGGTGTGCTTTAAGAGGGCAGTAAATTTTCATTCAGAGAAAAATCCATGTTAAAAAGAGGAGGAAAACTTAAGTGACCCACATGATTTCTGATTATGAGCCTGCTGGACTCATCTCTGGTCTTAATGATAGCAGCTGTGGATTTAAATGAGCCATGTCTCATCTAAGAATCTTCCCAACTATCACATTTTTTTATTATACATAATAAATTTTGTTTACTGTCCTGGTAAAAGTGATGGAAACAAGCAATTAATGGAATGAACTGCAGTAGCTGTATTGGTTTACTCTGGAGTGGGGGGGAGGGAACCCCAAATAAAAAAACCACAAACCTTCCAGAGACACTGAAGAAAGCATGGAAAAGGAACAGTAATTGCTCTGGCCTTGTAAGAGCTTTGCTAAATGCAGACGCAAGTTTGCAAAATCTAGAAGTACACCTCTTAGCTGCTTTTTTTGTTTGGGGTTTTTTTTTTTACTTTTTTTTTGCTTAGACTCTAGGAATATGCAGCCTGATTCTAAACCTAGTTTGGAGGACAAGCTTCTAGAATACATTAATTTCTAAATGTTTTCTTAGTGATTCTGAATAATTTCTTTGCTGACTTGCTACCTTTTAAAATGTTGAGGCACTATATTAGAGCATTTATTCTTCACTAGTAGTAAAAAAAGAAACTGTAGGTAGATACAGTGTTTCCTTCTGCATATGAAGCAAGCTAGATCACGTGGAAATGGTAAACTGAGGAGAATAACGGAGTTAGCTTCCAGAAGGTTATCGTGACTACAGCAGTAGTCAAGCCATGCCTTCTTCATGGCATAGCACCGTTGTTATTTTTACATATGGATTCTGATTGATGTTTTTATCAACAACAGTGATGGTTTTGTTAAAAGGTAAAGGAATTTTTAAACTAGTATTTATGATGACATCCTTCATTCCTTTACCTGAAAGTAGTTATAATTAACTACAGCCGTAGCTCCCAAGAAGTCACTTAAGTCTGCTGTCCAGTAACTTGATCTCAAGTGTAATATACTGAGTAGTAAATTAAGGTAGCCTGGAGTCCAAAGTACACTTTTCTAAGATACCTTCCCTCCCATGTAGTGAGATAGGTTTGGACTTTATGTTGATCTTTGAAAACCTTTGGGTGAAATGGAAACAATTTTTGCTATTAAGTTTCCTTTCCTGTGTGTCTGTGTACACACATTAAACTCTCCCTAATTACTGACTTAAAGAATGGCAGATGTAGGCCAGAAAGGGCAATGAAAACTTTAAATCGTCACCAGTGTTATGTGTAAAGACTTCAAAGCTTATTTTGGATGGATTGAAAACTCTGCTTCCAATGAAATACAATCGTAGGAATAAAAAAAAAAAGAGTCTGATTATTACAGGTTAAACTACTGTATATTTAATAGTAATTATTTAAAAAGCTGTTTAATTAACAGCTAAACAATGGTAGCTAAAGGCAGAAATGCGGGCTGTTTCACCAGTATCTGTTGGCAAGCTTTCTGCGCTGGTGCAGTGCTGGATGAACCCTTTCCTTTGAACAGTGCTGCGGCAGTCGTGAGCACCCGACCACGGTGAGCCAGGCTGTAGCTGGACATGCCCGAGGTCAACCATCTGTTCCCGTCCCCGCTGAGTAGCCGCTCCTGAACAGAACAGGCATCTCACTCAAATGCCACTGCACTTACGCACATTATTCAAACTGTAATTGTCCAGCAGGGAAATAAACGTTTCACAGGCCAGGAGTACTTTGTAGGAAGATCATTTCCATAGGAATTCATGGCAGTTGGGTATCCAGCTTTCATTAAAAACGCCATTAGCAATTAGGCACTTGGCTCCCTGGAAAGCTCCGTTCTGGAGAACTGTGATTTCTGATCCAAATTCTAGAAATGAGCTGTCATTTTCCTTCTGCTTCCCTGTTTACCTTGAGCAAGGCTTGCCAAGTTACCAAAAAAGTTAAAGAGTTTGCAACTCGATTTATACAGTATGGTAGATTTTGTGAATAATAGCAGTATTCTCTCATGAAGAAGTGGTATATTTTAATGGAATTCTTTTTTGGAACCAAGTACAACGTATTGCAATTGATATTTCTCTTGAAACATTTTGACATACTTGTGACTGTATTTCTTTTTGATTGTGTAACAGTATAAAATTCAATAAAAGAGAGGGTTTGTTTCTAATTCGTGACATTTGTGATCTTTCTGTTCATCCGTTATCCCCGTTCTAAAAGATGGAGATGGCAAAACCACATTTTAAAGTGAACTAAATAATCACTGTGCAGCATAACTAAAACTCCTTGCATGATTGAGGTCTGACTTACCTACTACTGAAGTCAGAAACTTTGACGCTAAGCATACATGTGGTCTATTTTCCAAAAGCATTTATAAATTCTGTCTTGCCCTTACAGCTGAATCCTGTTCACCTTGGACACAATGGTTATCCCACCTGAATTAAGCAGACCTCATGCATGAACAAAAGAGGTTAAGCACATACAGTTTAACAAATGGGACATTAGGGACTGTGTAGGCTTTCCTGAGGGAAGCTGAAGAGAGGAGAGCAACAGCTGGGGAGCCAGAGGGGCAGAGAACACTTGTGAAACCTCTTTGAGTAATCACATCAAGAATGCCCTTAATAACAAAACAGAAACTAGCTTGAATCCCAGATGACATCTCCAGGTGACTTCAGTTCCTCTCAGTACATGCAAATAACTCGACAGGATCTTGTGACTCTTGCTGTCTCATTAAATGAATACCACTTCCTATTGCACAGATTAAGAGTCTTTTGCAACGTTTTTGCTTTGTTGGGGAGTCTGAAAGCAGAAGGCTTGTGCAAGTGCTGTCACAGTAGAATATGATCTTGTTATTTGGTATTAGTGATACATTTGTACATACAGAAGTTTGAATATGCTATTTAATAAAACATATCCATGACTTGTTTTCATAAAAATCCATGAAAACATGATTTATGTTCATGTTTTCAATTTGAAAATGTGTTCTAATACAATCATACAAGGTATTTAAAAAAAAAAGAGTTAGCTGCTACATGCAACTGGAGAACCCCCTGTTATTTATATCTATGCAGGATAAATGGCTTTTTAACTTGCAACTTACAAGCTAGGAATTAATACGGCAAACAGGACTTCATCCTTCTGTTTAGGAGTTAAATAGGAATATAAAGAAGATACAGTAAGCTCTTCCTTACATCATCATTTTTTTTTTCGTTTGGAAGGCAGTCTATTAAGAATTAAAATGTACTAATTAAAAATCTGAAGGAGTACTAGATGAAAACACACAATTTATCAAGAGTATTAATTAGCCTAAAAATTGACACTGTATTTCATTGTATACACCACAGAAGGGGAATTCTACAGAGACACTCGCTTTTTTTTATTCCTCTGCATTTTCATTCTTTACACTGTAGCCAAACTTTCTGCAAGGAAAGACTTAGCACACATTAACATATGGGCACAACAGCCTCATCCTCACTACATCTTACATCAATCTTACACAATGAAAGTGTCATGATATGCAGCCCCATCTGCCTTAGGAAAAAAAAGAAAGAAATTTTCACCTGGCATTTCTTGAAACACCGTCTCTGAGAAATCACAACACTCACTGCACGCTTAAAATACAAAAATCAGACAACACACTCCAGCTTTACAAATTCTGCATCGCTCCAGAGCCAAGCTCCTCCGCTCCTTTTAAATGGAGGGATAACTCCTGTAACTAAGTAGGGCTTGCCTTCACCTGTAAGTAATGACAAACTCGCTCCACGATGTGTCAATTATTAACTTGCTTGTGCTTTGAATCCTTAAGTCCATTGGGGAGAGTACATTATAACTGTTTTCCCAACAGTGTTGGCATTCTGTTTCAAAATCAGTACAATCTGTTGAAGACAGGGTCACATGCTGGATGAACGGGGTCACTGCCCTACATCTCTAAACGTTAATCCAAATGATAGATGAAAATGTCTTGTCTTTTCAGAGAAAAAAAAGAAAAGCCAAACTAAAACCCAGCAGGTGCAGCTCTCCCCCTGCAGCTGCTAAAACCTGCCCGGTTCATACGTAACAGCTCTGGTAATGCTTCTGCTCCTATAATCAATGAAAGTGGCAATCAGTGGTGCTTACAGACAACAGCTGTTTAGCTGACGGCCATTCACTTCCTACTCACCTATAGAGGCAACTAAAGGTTGATTCCAGCAACCTTTCGGGAAATACAATAAATACGGAAAGATGCTTTCGTGCCTGAAGCATTGTGGAAGCTACCGTCATCGTAGAAGCTGATAGCTTGAAGTACCTAGCTTTAAGGAGCGACCTTTAGATCAGTTAGTTGATGCTAATGGTGACTTGGAGGACATCACAGCACCAGAGCCAGCAGAATTTAAAATTCATTCTGCAGTGCATGATTATTTAAGAAAGCGAAATGTGAATCTTTAACCTGACCACGGTGGGAAACTCCTGCAGGTTTAAATATCCTCCTAAAGGCATCACACAACGCGCCATCCCGTGCCTATTCGCTACTTTTTCTACACGCTTTTCTTCACCCGTTAAGGTTCCCCGAGCGCAGGTGCCATCTCCCACAAGCCAAGC